CATTTTCAAAGCTGAGTGTTTTGTTTCTAGATCTCTCGGAAGTAAAGAGGGCACTGGAATTGGAGCTGCAGAAGTGCAACAGTTCGTGTAAGGAGTCGCTGGAGAACTACGTTGCTAACATGTCTACTAATGCTGATTTCCAGCAGGTGAGTTTAGCTAATTATGGAAATTGTAGTAAGAGAAATGCCATCTGGCATATTGCAATTTAAATTATGTTTTGCACTGAAATAACTCTTACATTATGGAGAAAAATCTCAGTAGATTGATATGACAGATATAAGGCATTTTTCCCAAGAAAATGGATGATTCAGAGCTAATATTGAAACACTTTGGAAAATGATTGATTGATTGATTGATATATATATATATATATATTTTTTTTTTATATATATAAATTGCCCCCCGTCAGGGTTTGAACCTCGATCGTTCCATCGGCGTAGTAAGTCACTACACCCATTGACCGACTTTTGATCAAATCGTATGAATTCTACATGTGTCGGATATCGAAAGTTTTAAAATTTGTGTGATTCTGAACTAATTTTGGATGATTTAAAAAATAAATAAATGAAAATTTTTGTGATTTTTTATTTTGAAAAATTTAATTTAAATGAATTATGCATAAGATTGAAAGCAACCAAAATAAAAATGCACAAAATACATGTATGTTTTTCTAACTGTTTATTCCTTGATGAACATTATTTCCTTATTTTATGAATTTTTTTTATTTTGTAATAGTGCGCGTTTGTGTGCATTCGTACACGCGCATGCAATTAACATTATGTACAAATAAACCAGGTGAAGACACTGTAACAGAATTATATAATTCTTAATAACATCACAAATCTTGTGATTGGAATGCAAGATTTGTACGCGCTGCAGCATAATTTGGTTTTGTTGGAATTTGTAAATTTGGCGCAGTTGTCACAAAGAAAGCCCATTTGAGTGGTTCTTACTGACTTTATGATTGTTTGATGCTGGCTGGGGGCGATGGTTGGTTCTTTACAGTGTTGAAGATTGTGCAGCTGCAAAGCTATAGATTTAATTATATTCCAGAAATATTTGGAAATTATAAAAGTTTTTTCATGCTCGGCCAAGCAAACAAAAATCTTCAATCTTTTTTGTTATTATTGAGTACAACTGTGTTGCAGTAGTAAAGGGAACAAGTTTGCTTTGATGTACTCTGTTGTGGTGAATGGTATTTCTGTATGGACTAACATGTGTTTTTCCTCTTTATTTCATGCTAAGTTCCTAGACAGGTACTTCCCCAAGGTACAGTCATGCCATTGTTTCCGAATGCAGTCAGTGTGCATGTCTCATTTTTTTCTATAAAACTTGGTGTATTCTGCAGTAATAGATACATGCTCTGAGACAATATTAAAGTGAATCTCACAGAAATAGGGTGGGAGGGCGCATCAGACTGTAACATGCATGCACTCTTTAGTCTGTATGTGGTAATCAGGCTCATTCTTTAGGAAGCGTGAAGTATTTAAGTGGCGAGGTGTTCAAGAAATTGTCTCCCGGCGTGGACGTATGTAACCTGGGGAAAATATTTTGATGTAATTATATCAGTCATTTGTCTGTAGAATGAAGTTGTGTGGGTAAATATTTTGCCTGCAGTGTGAAGAATGCATCCTCAATCCATACCAGTGCATGTGTGTAATTAGAACTGAACTTCGTTGCTCTTTCTTCCAAGAACGGTTCCTCCTTTTCACGTGTTGATTGTGTCTAGTTGCCCCAAATTGAAGACAGTCTGCGGAGCGTGACAGATGTGATCCTGAATGGCAAGATAAAGGATAAGGTGAACAATGGACTGCAGGAATTTGACAAGATTCAGCAAGAGGTCCAGAATGCTGTCAAGGACTTGATACCGCAGGTTTCAGAAAAGATGAGTCATGCAGGTATGACTCATTAAAAAAATATGCTTTTACTGAAAGTTGTGTTGAGTAAAAATATGTCAGATCAGTAAGCTTCTGATTATTATCTTGCTCAGGATAGGATGCAGTAGGGGGCTGTTATGAACAGGCTTCATAAAAGGTGGAGTAGTTATTTACTAGCTGAGCAACTGTCAGCTCCTAAAGGTCTCTTATCCATGGATGTAATACAGTTAATGCTTGATGATGTTAGGTGTGGCCATAAGGAAGCAGTCACAGCAGATAAACAAGATCCTGAAGAATGTGAACGCTGCCATGATGAACCACGCTTCCAAGGCGGTGGACATTGGGGAGAAGGCGATCGTGGAATATGGTTATTACAGGTACCATATTTGCACATGCAATTTCTTCGTTGTGACTGAAATCTGAGTAGTAGCATGCCTCCAAGAAAACTAGTGCTGACAGTATCTTTAATACGTTCTGCTCTGTTCGCCCAGATACTACACAGGTCTGTCTGTGAGTTCTGTGATGCTGCTGATACTGATGTGTGCTGCTCTGGGGTTGTTCTATGGTTTCTGTGGAAAGCGTCCGGACGGTTATGGCGATGACTGCTGCAGCAGGGCCACTGGTGCACGATTTCTCATTTTGTGAGTATGATGGTTCATTAATTATTTGGTCCCACACATTTTGACTTCGCGTACCGCATGGTTACTTCTGAGCACATGTTGACCTGTGTATCACTCTTGTTCAGGAATAAATTTTGTTCACACATTGTGATCACAATATATTTCCAACATTAAAAAAGATTAATGTCACTAATAATAACCATATGAGTTGTAGTTTCTATTAATAAACCTGAATCTGGGTGAATGTAATACTGCAGAACATTTTTATGAGGCCATTGTATTTAGGTAAATGTGATATTTTTAAATTAATTTGTCGTCTTATGCATATCTGTGAGGCCTGCTTCAGACTTGTAATATCAGCCAGGAATTGTGTCATCTTTGCTGGGTTCCATGAGCCAATGCTGAGATATTGCCTCCCCCTTCATAGTACTTGTCCGTACCATTTCAGTCCTATACTCTACTCTCTCTGTGACTGTTTCTTCGTGCTCATTTTGTTATCATTTCATATTCCATCCATTCCCAACAGTTTTGCACTTCCTTACAAGTGGTCCATTTCTGTTGCTCTCAGTCACATGAAGCTGAATTAATCAACGGTAAGTACGAAAGTACGCTGGGTTGAACATTTCAAGTGTTTAAGACGTATTTTCAGTAAACAGGGGTAATAGAAGTACTGAACTTCTTTAATTAAACTGGTGTGGTCTTACGATGCTTTGCCAGCAATTAACATTATCATGAACTGTGTGCCACACAGGGGTGTGTGGGTGATATTCCTCTTCTCTGCTGTGCTGATGGTGGTTACACTGGCTCACTTCCTGCTTGGTATCATCGTTGAGAGGGCAATGTGTGAACCGCTTCAGAATCCCAGCAACAATCAACTTCTGACTCTCATTGACAAAATTGTTAGGCTGGATAAGTTCTTCGGATATGAAGCAGAAATTAACGTCTCGTCCATTATCAGGTATGTCGGAGGGGAAATATCACGTTGATGCGTTATCGTGTTGGAAGAAAATGTGTGAATGAATATTACTGTAGCTTAATAAGTATGAGATGGATCAATCATGTAGCACACATGTTAGATATCAGAAGTTTATACAACCTAGGTGTAGGTAAGATAATATTAAAATGGATCTTGAAGTAATTGGATGGGAGAGTATGGTTTCAATTTACAGGACTGAGGATAAGAACAAAAAAAAGCAAGGAGTTTTGACTAGTTGAGCAACTGTTAGTTTGTCAGGTAGCACAGGACTGAGGATAAGAACAAAAAAAGCAAGGAGTTTTGACTTGTTGAGCAACTGTTAGTTTGTCAGGTAGGACTCTGCTCCATAGAATTTGATGTCATATTTAAATGTGGCCTTTATCTACTTTGTTGATAATGCAATAGTCTTCATTGCTGTGAATTATTATATTTCATACATAATTACTTTTTTTAAATCAAAACGTCTTTCTAAAGCTCTTTTATCGCAGCGTACAAGTTCACACTTTAGCATAGTACATAGCAGTTTTTGAGGGAAGGTGCTTATGCAGCTGTCTTCATTTCCAGCAAATGCAGTTGTGTGCAAATATAATTTGTATGCACTGCTGAAGGTGTTCAGGTTGCAGTGTGCAACAGAATTCAATGATGTTTCTGTTTGTATGCTCTGCTGAAGGTGTTCAGGTTGCGGTGTGCAACAGAATTCAATGATGTTTCTTGCAGATCCTGCCACGCAAATGGAAGCATGTATGAAGTTCTGCAGATCGCCAACCTGGTGAACATCAGTGAGGTGAGTGACTACAAGACCAAATATGGCTGCAGATTGCCAACCTGGTGAACATCAGCGAGGTGAGTGACTACAAGACCAAATATGGCATCGAGAGCATCATCAACCAGCTAAAGATGAGGATAGACTTCGGAGGCAACGTCACCATCTTCACCGAGGACGCCAAGTACGAGCTGGAAAGACTGGCTCGTTCCAACATCACACGCATTGACTTTGCTGCATTTGCTGAAGTGGTGAGTGGCTCCACACTTGTGATGGTCTTACTGACAGTACAAATCTGAAGGTGATGCAAGAAATATTATTGACTTTGCTTCGCTTTTCCCCTCTGCTTCTTTCCCATCTTGTCTCGCTACATATCGTCCTCCCAAGTCGCATCACCATCCTCATCCTTGTGCTGCTTGTGCTTTCTGAAACAGAAACTACAGATTTGCAAACAGACATGTGGTTCAGGTTGACCTCTGGTATGTGGTGCTATGAGAAACTGTAAGCTGGCCCACATACAGTGGTTTGTTAATCAACCCTTCTATCCCAAACACATTCCCCTTGCACTCTCCCATCCTCCCTCTTATTCTTCATTCTCAGTGAGTGCCCTTTGATCCAGGATAATGTGTGGGGTTTGTGTTCATAATAGATGCATCTTAAAGAACTGAGGTGCTAGGATATCAAATTTTCACCTGCATCTGCATTGGTCTCTGAGATGTTGTTTGAAGGTATGTTCTGATATCAAGATAATGAACTGACTGACTAACTGATTGATTGATTGCAGCTAAATAAATCTGTTGTGAACATAGATCTTGGCACACTGGCCAATCAGCTGAGGAAGACTGCCAATGAGATACCCAGTTCTCCTTCTGACGTGAGTGTGGCTCATTATTTATGTCAAAGTCTCTCAAACTGATAAAAACCAATTACATAATTAATGCATGTACATATTATTGATTTCCATAAATGAAATTTAAATTTTTTTCTTAACATTAAAGATGGTAGGAGAATAATGTGTAATATGATTGCCTGTTAATATGTTTATGGGAAAGAGGAGGAAATATATCTGCCGCTCTTCTATAGAGAGGAGGTAGCCTTGGTGAGGAATAAAGAAAGATGTAATGATTTTACAGAATTCTGGAGCAGAGTGATTTTGTATTTGTGAGGTTCTAGGTTTGAATCTTGGTTTGGTGAACTGGTGATCTGACAGATTTTTGTTGTTTTGTCCCAGCAAATGCTGGATGGAATAGTACAAATATCTTCGCAGAGAACAAGACCACTTCTCAGCAGCTTGTTCACACTTGTCTTACTGTTTTAGCTAAAAGTCTTTGTATTCAGAGAAACACTGAAGTACCAGTATTAAGTATATAGCAGTGGTTTAGTAAATAAGAATTTAGTATTAGTGAAATTGTTTCATTTGTTTGGACAGATAAAGAGCTCATTGGAGAGGCAGGCTAGTATCCTGCAGTCGCTGCAGGATGGTGTCGTGCGGCGGATGGAAATGCAAGTACAGACCCTGGACAGGAAGACTAAAGCATTGCAGGAGAACTTGAAGTTCAACCATTCCTCACTTGATGAAAGTGTCAACCTGATTCTGTTGGAAGTGATCGGGGCTCAAGAGTATCTCAATACCACAGCCTCCAAGGAAATAAAAAATGTATGTGGCCTCAATGTTGTATACAAGATCTTAATTTTGTGTTGTTTATTAAGTTTATTATTACTCTGTTGCATCTCACTTTGAGGCTCAGTATATTGCAGCCCAAAGAACCAGCTTCAACGTTCTAGAGAATGTTACGTGTTGTTATTAAAACACACTGACTCTCAGAGTAAATAATGTTGAATTAGTGCATTGTTATGGAGATATCGTAAATAGTCTGTTTATAAATATTTAATTCTGTGGTTAATGATTATTACATTTTCTTTAAAGTGAATGTGATTTTACACAGCTAACCTCTGTACCATTGCTCATAAGCTTAGAAAAATCTTAAAGTACTATCCCTTTTGATTCTGATCTCTGAAGTTCCTGTATATGTAAAATTCCTTTTGAATTTTTAAGTATTAAAACGTATTCTATTTACTGGAATTTAGAAAGATGCTGAAATTCAATATTCAGTTTAAACAGCGTTGTTAAATTATCTTAGGATCAGTGAAGAGTTGAGGCTTAGTCTAAGCAGCTGTACTATCATCTCCTTCCAGTTGGCAGACATGTTTGCTAATGCGATCCTCGGCCACGTAGACCTTTACTTGAGCAGGGTGGTGAACATGACGACCACAAAGGTGGGGCAGTGCCATCCGATGAGCCAAGTGTACAATGCTACTGTCATCGCCGTTTGCAACGAGATACTCGACCCTTTTGTGAGTTGTGGTATTTTTGTTTGCCATTAGACTTTGGCTTTGAAACTTAATTTTGTAAAAGGACATTTTGGTCATAGTGAGCATGAATATTATGAGGGCCAATATTAACAAGAACTTTGCTTTAGCAGAAGATGACAAGAAATGTCATTGGTGCTGAAATGTGCTGTATTTTGACGCGTAGTTCAGATTAAGCTTTGAATTGTTATCCTGACATTTTGTTTGTGTTACGCAGAATGGTTTCTGGGCAAGTGTTGGCTGGTGCTTGGTCCTCCTCATTCCTGTCATCATTCTTTCAGTCAAGTTAGCAGCACTGTACCAGAAGTCGGATCCATATCCCGCACCTCTTGCAGAATCGTGAGTATCCACTTTTACACACATTAGTAAGTGTGTGATGGATAGGTAACATTTAAGTTCAGGTTTGTTGGTACTTAAAATTGTGTGCCCTAATACTGTACCTGATTGCAGTGCCACATGGTATACTGCAGTACCTCACAACACACCAGATCATGGTTTGAAGTTGCACAAGAGCCTACCAAAAGGTTTTGAGACTGATCTTTTGGCACACGTGACTCTTATTGAATTTGTGATCCTGCATGCCGGAAACTCTTGTGGTTTGAGTGGTGTCGTACTCATTTTCAAACCTTGCTTTCTGTTTTGGGTTGAGAATGAAATATTGTTCAGATCATCACTATGTTATTATTTTGGAGAATGTGGTAGCAGTGTCTCTTTCAGTGTTGTGTATGAAACCTGAGATCCTGTACTTTGTTATAAAGGATGAAATATTAAGATTAAAAGCATCTTTCCGAAAAGAACATGGTTCATAACAAATATAAATGATTATAACAAATAAAACAGTTATTAAATGGACAAAATAGAGATGGCATCATACTGAAGATATATATCGTACCATGTCACTACTATCACCATCTTTGTTCTGTTAAATGAGAATTGCAAGTGATGTGCATTGTATGATAAGGCTTTGCTTTAGAGGTGATTCAACTCTGACTTTCGTAAGTGTAGAGTTCTTTGTGTAATGATTAGGCTAAGTTAATATATTTTTATGGATTTTTGATTCCCTACATGAGGTGTGGCATTATATTGTAGAGTCAGTACAATACGCATGCACTGTAGGCTCTTGTCATTTTCATAGCTTCTGCTTTCAGTAGGTGTGTGGGATGGGATGAGATGCAGAGCACTTCTTTTGTTTTGGCTTAGTGGGAGGAAAAGCACACACACTTATGTAACGAAACAGCAAATTGGTTGGTGTGTGCTCTGCAATGGAGCAATGGCTCATATGGACACATCACTGTTCTCCATGTCTCATTTGGGTTATTCTGTAAAATATCCTCAAGAAGGTTTTGGAACAGATAGTAAAAGATGCAGGTGTAAATCTGTAGTAAGGAGCAAATGATACAGTGTTATTGAACAGAAACTGAAATGTTCATGTGCAGCTTTTGATTAACAAGTAGTTCATATAACTCTGTTGAACAAAAATGTATTTGATCCAGTTTTCACAAAATTGGAAGTGTGTGGACATAAGAGGTTCCTGACACAGTATTATTGAGTGAACACTGTGGCAACTGAACCCAGAGGGTCAACACTGCTGTACCAAAGTCCACCACTGGATGTGATCTTATGTCAGTTCCATTCACCTCCCTTCTGTCATCCTAAGTTCCAGTTCATTGTCATCTTCCTATCATCTCCCCCATCTTCCAAGTGGATGTTTCCCCAGAGGTTTTCCCACCTAAATATTGTATGTATTTCTTGTCTCCCCCATTCAAGGCGCATTCCCAGCATGTCATAGTGTCCTGACAACAGACTGACCTTATTGTGTAAGATCCTAAACTGCCCACCCCACCCTTCTGAGGTCTGCTTAAAAATCTGTTTTCAAACCCTTGTAATATGTTTTTCCCTCAAAGTAACAGACAGAATTTTGCACGTGTACAAAATTACTGTTTTGTATGTCCTGTTCTTCATTGTTTTGATCACACAGGAACTGATATGTGTATATGCATCTTTGGAATGAGCAGCAGTTGGTACAGCTTTGTTAAAAAGGTTTTGATTGGGGCCCTGTCCTTTTCTGGCCTGCTGTGAGTTGTAGTTCCAGTTCTAACTGTTCCTTTGCGTGACTGCTTTTGTTTCTTCTTGTTATTGTGACTAACCTTGGCCTGTGTGTCTGTTCACAGTGAATACTTGTATGATGCATACGGAGATCGGGATAACATCCCATTAGCCAAGTAAGTTGCTCTGGCTATATTAGACTGATTAATTGCATGTTGGTCACTGAGAAACAAACAATAGACTAAATTTTATATCATATATATTAAGCCTTTCACTGCTAAGTGATGAAGTTGTGCTATTGCAAGATTCTTACAAAATTTGAAGTGGCTGTTATCAATAGCTTCGTAAGAGTTAAACCTGTCAGTCAGTCCTTTATAAAAAGTGTTTCAGATGATACTCATCGTCATTGATAGACTGTGTTTCTGTAAATGGGAGGCAAAATATTTTTATTTTGCACTTAGATACTTGATTTTTAAGATGTTAAATATATGTGGTGAGATGCTGAGAATGTTGGATCTGTGCAGAGCGCAGCATTTCAGCGTGTGACAGTCAAGGGGAAGATCTTGCAACATCACAACCTTCCAGCACTGTCTCTATGGGCGTGGCAGATCGTCACTCACCTGCTGTCATATTCGAATCAGTTGTAGATGATACAGGACAGCTTTCTTTTTCCATTTTAAGTGATGGAACAGCCATGCAGCAGAGCATGTGCTTTTCAACACTTCGGTCTGCTCTGTGCTTGGCAGTAGAAGCGATAAGCACGGTTATCAGTGCAGATTGCTGTCCAAAATGTAGATTACAGTTTGTTGTTTAACCCTTTTCCATTTTATCTGCTGTTGCATGGGCATGTGTGTGTGTGTGTGTCTCTTCATATCTTACTTTGGACAAAATTCTGCTTTAAGGTTATAATTTCCTTGGAAACTAAATGAAGTAGCATTTCTATGTTGCCACAGCTTTTCACAGTCATTCTAGTACAGTCCGGAAGACTAGACCACGGTGTGTTGCTATGAACGTTTGATGTTCATTTCATAAAGCATAGAAATGAACAAGTGCTGTGAAGGAATGTGTGGTACATTCTATTGAATGTGTTACCTATATTCAAAGTGTAGATTTTGACAAAAATGTAGTTGGATTGCAAGTGAACCAGCAGATATTTTTAGAGCTTCAGTCTGTATAGAAGAGGTAATTAATGTCTGTACAGGCAGGTAACTTATGTACAGTGGGCTTCTGCTTATCTGGTGTAAATGGGAGACCAAATGGTGGGGTAGTTAAGCTGGCGAGTCAGTTACAGGAGGGAGAATCTCCTGTAGTCCCATCTCTTCATATAAGAGCGATGTATCATCTCTTGCTTCCAATAAGATCACAAGGGTTGTGCTCTTTAACTTGTGGTTCTGTTCATTGGCACCTGGCTCTGTCTTTCATTAACATTTGACAGGCCTTAGAAGTGAAGTAGGTTTTGACAATGACTGAAACCACTTGAGTTGCTGTCTCACAATTTTTTTAAACCTTGAAAAGACGTGACTGATGCAGCTGTCTCACTGTGTTGCAGTGTGGACAAGAAGAACTACCACCGCCACTGCCACGAGACATATGAGAATTCTAGTGGTTACTATGGAGGGGATTATAGTGCTCATCTGGGGCGTGGGGGTGACCGGTCCTCACCAGCAGCTCACAGTGACGCACGCTACACTGACATGGCTCCCAAGTATGTACTCCTCAGACATGATGGTGGGGGCAGGATCAGGTAGGAGTGCTTCTCTTCACTTACCCCAACTGAATTTCACCATCTCCCAGCTCATTTCAGTTCATTAACACGTGTGTTGAAATCTTCAGTATTTATACGAGTTTCTTATTATTTTTCCATCTGTTTATAACTCATTAGTCGAGTACTCTGTGTATTTTTGTTGAAATTCCTATCTATTTTTAAATGAAATTGAACATTGTTGCTTTTGTATAGAATCTGAAAGGTTGAACATGTTGAACACATTCTGTTTGCTGTCAAGGGCAAGCCATTATTCATCATTTTCTACAAAGCACGGCCGTCTTGCGCCATTGGTCATCTGAGTAGGCAGTGGGGTAACATCAGAAATCCTGTCCCATTTATTTTGGATGTCCTTATGTCATTGCAGTGACATAAAACTCTGGTGCACTGGCCTGTGCTAGAGCCTTCTTACTGTGTCGGTATCATGCTGCTTCCTGCTGTGAATCTTTCTGCACTGTGCATGCTCTCTTTGGCTTCCCAATTTTTTCAAGCTGGTGTTCACATTATCAGGTCTGGATAGACGAGAAATACAAACAGAATTGCATCTAGAAAACTTGGAGGGAAGGGACTACTTGGTAGAACTAAGTATATATAAGAGGATGATATTAAAATTGATCTTAAAGAAATGTTATGTGATTGTGGATTGGATTTATCTAGCTGAAGATGAGGGTTAATTGGCATTCTCTATGTCTTGGTGTTTACAGTGCACAAACCTTTACTCCATGTGCTTTGTGTTCAATAAATCTTGCTTTCACAACTGTAGTATTTTGTGTGCTATATTTGCTGAATTAGTTTTAAAGAGTTTTAAGAAATTTACTGAATTATTCAACCTCCTTTGGCCCTGCTGCTTAAAGAGAACAAAAAAAGAGTATCATGAAGGAAAATTACATAAAGTTTTCTTATTTGACAGAGATTTGTGGGTGATAGCTCAGTTTGTAACTTTGTGGGCTTTGTTGTGTTTTGTGCCATACTTTGTGTGCTCAGACATTTCTCTTCATTTGTCCAGTGAGGCGTTTCAACTCTGAATAGTAGTGTTTTACATATCCATTCTGTATACAGGAACTTCTCACAATAAAGTACACGAACACAATGTTTGTCAGCATTGAAGCCAAAATACAACACTATATCATTAATTATTTTGTTAATAAGGATAAAATATCTTATTGACACTGCCACTTTTGCTCTGATATATCTCAGTTTCTTGACTTTGTAACCTTTCACAAATAGGGGTTATGCTGTATTTTCTGGATGTAAGGCATAGCTTTATTTGTCAGAGTAACCCCTGAAAGTCAACTGTAAGTTTACGCACATTCAGTCCTTTTAGTCGGTTATAGAGAGAAAAGTGGTGAAAATCACAGTTTCAGCCTGACCTGACCTAACCTAACCTAACTTAACCTAACCTAACCTAACCTGACCTGACCTAACCTAACCTGTGTAGTTTACAAGAGGGAGAAAGTGTGCATTATATTGGGGCAAGTGTAGAGGAAGACTGACTATGCTTTGCGCCAAGAGACTTGCACTTCCTGATCTAGAACAAGTCATGAAATGTAGGCATAATGTATCAGTTCTGATTTATTTACCATAATTTTGCATTTGACCTTTGTGAATGGCCAATGAATTCCCCACCCATTCGATTCCATGAGCAAAAACTCTTGTAGTTCTTCATGCAAAGTACCTGTTATTGTTGTCCAGTCTTAATCAATGTTGGAATGCGTTGACAGATTTTAATAAAACTTCTCAGTACCAAATTTTGTGAAAGTCTGTTCAGTGGTTCTTGACATTTCACATCCAGACAGCCATGATGACATTAATAAGGCACATTTTGGCAACTTTCAGTTGTGATTGTGCCAATAGATTTTATATTATTGTTTCGTAGACGATAGAATTTTATCCTAGGAAGAAAGCTGTGTCTTACATCTGGCTAGCTGCTGTGTTTTGTCATGTAACATTTAGGAAAAAGTGTTTTGCAACTGTGTGAGTGTTATATTGTTTTGTGACACTTGGCTTGTACTCTGCTAGGCATTGGGACTACCCCAATGGGGGTCCTCCTCGCTATCACAGTCCACCGTTGTCCACAGAGTATGAACGACCTCCACCTTACTACTACCCAGGGCCCGGGTAAGCATAAATCCAATGACAGAAATTACAAGACTTCTAGAATAAGGCTTGCTACATTTATTTTACTTGCCTTCCCCCATTGGCAGGGAAATTGTCTGAAGTGGTGAGGGTTTTCTTTTGTGTGTGTCCTTGATTTACAGTGACATGTGCTCCTTTTCTGTTCTTCCCTGCCATGCTTCGTGATGTCTCGACGTCCCATCTGTAAGTTACCAACTTTTCACTTTTTGGGCTTTTATCAAACTTTTAGATGTAGGAGGCTTTACAGGGGTTGGTCCCCAGCCCGCACTTGGCTCGTGGCATCCGTGAAAAGGAGGTGTACATTGCCGTGAGAGGTAGTTTAATATTCTAAGTAAGAGGGTTTTACATTTAATGCATGCCTGCCAATTTGTCCGTGTAAAAGTAGAGCCACAGCGGAGATGTAGCTAGAGTTTCCTGCCACAAGAAGTTATGCAAAACAGAATTCACATTTGTAAAAATTAAAAGTTCCAATAAATTTCAGATGTAGTCCTTTCATAGTCATCACTATGTGAAATACATGCATATTTTCTGTCAGTATACATTAATTTCTGTACAATACTTTTATTTTCCGTCGTTTACACAAGCTTATTGTTAAAATCATATAAAATTTCACATAAAATTGTTACATTTTAAAATTGACGACATGTTTCGATATACAATCTTATCATCGTCAGGTCTATCAAAATTAAAATTAAAATCTGGTGTATCTGTTGCTCTGCTTATATTGTTTTTGTTTTTACTCGTTTTTACTACATCTCCAGGCTTCTTCGATTTTATTTTTGGAGACGCGCCTGGGTGCCTATATCTGCAAAATGATGCATGATGCAATTAAGATATAAGCTATTAATTTCTGTGTCTTTTCAACTAATACTTACTAGTCTGGAAAATACGTACAGTATTTGTAAGTATTACTGCCTCTCACATTGATTTTGCAACAATTGTTGCTGAATTTAATTAACTGAAATTCTTCAGATGAGGTGAAATTCTAAACACCTTAGAGCATAAAGGTGTTCAAGACGTTTGAGATGCATTCATTCATCATTGATCTGTAGAATTATTTTCCTATAAAGGCATGTAGTTTGTCATAGCTTAAGCCATATTGCTATTTATGTTATGTAGCTAGATTTGTTTTGTGTTCAGGATGGTTCTGAATCTGGCAGTTCCTTGTTTTTTGACTTCCTTGAATTTTTCATATATGAGCTGCATTAACTCGTTTTGTCTCGTGTTAAAAATGAGAAGTGTGGTGTTGTCATGTACTGGAAGAAAACAGTGACAGAGGAAAGTAGAAGCATCTTTCTATGCTAGTGTTGAGTTGTCTGCTTAAAGAACAGGTACCATGTCTCAAATTTGGAAAATGTAGTGCATGTAAGTATGGGTTGATGGCATTCCTTCCCTGCCTGTTACAACAGGATTTCAAGTGAAAATGAAGTGCCATGTGTGATTTCATCACAAAGTATTTTTAAGCAAGGAAGTGATTTGGAAATCTGTGGTGTTCTTTTTTGGGTTGTCCTGTATGTAAAAGTTGTTCCTGTCATTTGCTAAGAAATAGATTTGTGTTGTTGTTCTTTTATATACAAGAGCTTCTGTTATTAAAGTATTTACATAGCTTTATTCACATTCATTCAGGATATATGCATGTTTGTGTACGAGTATAGCATATTTATGCAGTATTTTATTGACTGAACTCGTGCCAAACAATTTCATAAACATTCACTAATAAATAGAAATTTTAAGAAAATATAGTTTTATTACAAAAATATTTAGTATGTGTTAATGAAATAATTGATTTTGAGTTGTAGTATACAGTGTCTTAAGAAATTTCACTCTGAAAAATGTGCCAGCCTTCCGAGTGTTTTGCGTATTATTACCAAAATAGTAAAAATTTAACTGATACAAACAGCATAATAAATCCGTGTTCTTTTATGAAGATACATGGAATTTTAGTGCTTGACCACATTATTCAGGATAAATTTTATACATAAAACATGTAGACAAGGAATCCAAACTGGATACACAATATCTGAGAAACAACTACTTTGTGCTCAACTTCATAAAACTTCAGTGTATGTAAGAGACAGTTGATGAATTACAAATTATATTATTTATTGTGGAGTCTTCTAGGTATAGTACTATGTCAATAGTATAAATGTTTTCGGGGTTTTGTTGAAATGATTAGCAGGCATGCACAAGTGCAAGTGACTGGGACAGAGTGTAATTTTGCTTTGTTTGACAGGGACAGCAGCAGGAGGTAGGGCATCGCCATGGTGACAACTGGTACATACTGTGATTGGAGGATAAATATCATGCCCTGCAGGCTAGACGCGCGCTTGGCAAAGATGGCCGTCCAGCAGCCAGCCATCCTTTTAAAACATATTTTATAAGTGAACACAGTTATTTTTAAAAATGATGTCTTGCACAAGATGATATTACTCTTGTGCTTATTCTGATTTAATCAATGATAAGGAGGATCCCAGATTAAGCCAAGAGAGAAGGTTTACTGTCACCAAATTCCAAGACTCAACTTTCTTGTGTGGGTCTCAGAATTTGGCAGGGAGAATGAAATGGTTGTAATTATGTTTTTTATTTACTTGAATATTTAGCCAAAAACAAAAGAATGTTCATACTATGAGTCAATATTTTACCAAAAAAGGAAAATCTGATAAAAAGAGACAAAGGACACATACATTGCTGTGAATAGAGTAAGAATTTGATGCATTAAACTTGCTAATGATATGTTTTACCTGTAGAATGGGAAACATGATATTCTGCTGACTGCAGCAAACTAGTATAATCAGAGCTTCTTTAAACAGTGCAGTTTTAAACCTTAATTGTTTAAAATAATAATAAAAAAGCAAAACATATTTGTAAGATTTGAGGTTTTCACAACGGTGAGTATGAAGATTTCTGTCTTCTGGGTTGTTGCGCTGTGTAGTCTGGTCGATGTTAACCAACGTTTCAGAGGTCATACTGCCTCCATCATCAGTTCGATCGCCCTGATGACGGAGGCAGTATGACCTCTGAAACGTTGGTAAACATCGACCAGACTACACAGCCAACAACCCAGAAGACAGAAATCTTCAAAACATATTTCTAAGTCGTGGACATCTTGTTTTTGTGTGTCTGCAAACCTCCTTGCCATATAGTATAATACAATTATTGTTTAATGGATGTTCAGTTTCTAGTATGTAATTATAAGTATCATTATTATTTTATTATGTATTATGTGTACTCAATTTTATGTATTTATTGTTGTATGAGGAAAGTTACTACATTTCGGTACAGTGCATTCTGTTAGGATGGTCGTTACCAGTACAAAGCAGTCACAGTCCCTGTGGTCAAGTGGTTGCTCCTTCTCCGTTTTAAATAAATGAGTTGCTGTATTTTTTAACTTTTCAAAATTATTGTGTAATGTGGTTTTAACTTTTCTTGTTGCCCTGTTTACTTTTACAGTAAAATGTGCTTGTGCCAAGGGACATTGTACGGTTTCAGAAAAGATTATGTGTACCACATCTAGAAGTACTGCACAGTGCATAACCTAATATATTTATGATCCAAATCACATGCTACACTATTATTGAAAGGTCATTAAAATAGTCTGAAGGTTTTTCGTTTTGTTGGTTGTGCTAAATTGTTTTGCCTTTCCGACGGGAAGCACGAAGCAGCAGCACAGAAATTACTGCATAGAAACCAGAACGTATTCAGACCGAGTGTTTGGCATTAAATACTTTAAATTTATTACAAGTAATTTTATATTTACTCCTTATCCTAAAGACCAGAAAAATGGTCCAGTGGTTTTACTGTATTTCATTCTAATTTTAAAGAGGTGTGTAGCACACATCATTCTGTTAGATTAATTCTTTGATCCATATTAATCAAAATAGTAGTGTACATTATCACATATACTGTCTTGCTTCCACATCCTCATGTTTTACATTGGTGTTCCACAGTCTGGAGCCAGCTGGGGGAAGGGAGTGTGGGGGTCAGCATAGATAACAGCATAATGGTACAGAGTTTGGAGATGTAGTCAGAACAAAAGCTCATGTGATTCTTTGCATCTGTGAAGCTTTTGATTGTAATATCTGAAGTTGTCAGGAACTCAGAGGAGAATCTACGGATGTGCTGAAACCAATAAATTATTGTTATCTTTAGGTGGTCGAGAGATTTTAGCAAAGGAGTGACTTAGTGTCTGCCATTTTACCATTTTTTTTTTCCTACAAAACAATTATTTACCTGTGATAAAAGAAATTGCTTGTGCTCCGGACTTTGTGTGTGCCCCATATCTGTTTGAAACTGGTGCACATTCTCTTGCTTCATTAGATAATTTTTTTAGTGTGCCTGGTTGTGGAATGCTTCTCAGGTGAGCAGGAGAGATGTATAGGAGGCAGCCTTGTGTGTGGTGATATCGTCACATAAATACAGAATGTGAACAATCTCTTTGATACACTTGGTGACAGGCAAGTCAGACTACTGAAGGGAAGGCAGTTACATACAAAATACAAGATCACAAAATACTTATGGCAGTACAGGGAAGGGTGGAATGCACTTGTAGTTGACTGTCATCTTTCTTGCAAGTACTTGTTACAGGTAGAATGAACGGGGTCCTGTCGTGGGCAAGGGTGAGGCTGTGGGACCCGTGCTGTTTGATCCTGGGGCTGATTGCCATGAGATAAACTAGTCCCATTTACTGTCACATGTTGCACTTTATTTATCAGTTCACAAGATTTTTAATCTGTTCTGTCGTCACGTGTTTGTCACGGGAACAACAAATTTCAACATCAAACAATTAAACAAAGAAGAAGGACTTTAAGAAATGGAAGCATGTTAAAAACTGTAGATACCTGGTTTGTGACCATACAAATTAAGCCCTAAATTGGGGGAATTATGTTAGGTTTTGTTTTATAGTTTGGTTTAGTGGAATGTGGCAAAATCTGTATCAGTAAACAAATGAGGTCATGTAGCAGACTAGAACTAATTATGTGACATGGTGAAAAATTTGTTTTCACATTAAGACCATTTCTGTTCACCATTGGGCTGTATATTCATCTTACTAACAGCCTGTAGTGTTCAAGATACAAGGTTTTGTGATGGTGAAAGCATGGATTGCGGTCCATAGGTTATGACACCACAGGCTTATTAGCTGGTTATTGAAGTTCCTTCAAAACGTTGGTAACCAGCTACAAACCTACATGGCATCATGACCCAGAAGGCCACAGTTCAGAACTTGTTCTTTCCAAACAATATGTGCTATTCATTAGTAATCCCTACATTGTTATGCTTTGCTTTTGTCTGTCTAGTCATGAAGTCACTCAGGCTCATTTTGCCTGAACAGTAAATCTTCTACGTTTGTTACATCACAGATATGACAGTGATCTGTTTACTTCCGAGCCTTTGTCACTGATCTGAGACCCTTCCTTCACTTTGTTTATGTATTGGATCACCAATCTGGGAGATTGTCTCTTCATTATTGCAACATCTCACTTTATCCTGTAATTTAATTCTGAGCCATTTAAGAAAGCTTTACATTTTTAATGATTCTTTATTTTATGTATGAGATTTGCTGATTGGTTTTAGTACTAAAATGATGGACCTCGACTTTAAACTGGATTTATTCGGAGACCAAGTGTAGAATAAAAGATGATTTTCCCGTCCACTTCAAGATGAAATGTTCTACATGTTCTAACAAAAGAAGGTGAAATGCAAAATTTCAAAGATTTAAAAATGCAGGTTGTAAGAGTGTAAGGAGCAGTATATTTTTAAAGAAATTTATTTGTTAAAATAATGTATAGTGTATTTTTTTTTCACCATAAAGAAAGATAATTAATGCTGGTTATTCTGGTGCATCCCCTTCCATTGTGATTAAATTTTGTCCAAACTGAAGTACAAGTTTACTATTCTAGAATATATACATGTTTCTGTGTGTGCCACATTTTCCAGTCTGTTAATGTCTTTCAGTAGTGAGGTGATAACTGTACATACTGTATATGAGTGTTCTGACTAGCAGTGTGTTTGTACGGTGGACTTGTCACTAGCTGCGGTGCTCCTAGTCTAGCCGAAGGCATTACAGAATTTTAAATCTTGACAGAACGTGCTTCCTCCACAGTTCCCCGCTCCCTTTTCTTCTTGAATTTCTAAAGCGATAAAACTTAAATTTTGATACTGTGAAATTAACTAGAATTGAATTCTACTGTACCCTTGTAGATGCGGCAAGCTTTTATTTCCGTTTCCTGGAAAACACTGCACCTCCATCTGTAATTGTTGCAGTCATATGTTGGTGCCAGCTTCAGGTTGGAGTAAAATCCATCCTCAGCACTTTGTAAAACCTTATAGAACACTTTTAACTCAAGCATTTTCTACTGGGGTAATATTTACACATAAAAATTGCTATTTGCTCATATCTTAATTTTAAAGTGAAATTTTACATATTGTGTAAAATTTCATAGTCTGAGGTTTCTTAACTTTTTCTTGGATATGATTTCTTGAAAACCAGGCAATAGACTCTGATTCCCAGTTCTAAAGGGTTCTGACGATGGTGGATTACACTTAAATTTATTTGTTATCTGGACTCTTTCCATTTCCTTGTTTAAAAGAAGAAACCACAATGTTTTGGAAACTGCCTCATGCTAACCACACAAGGTAATCATACCAGGTGCAGACTCCAGTTGAAAATGTCTGTGACTAACCGATGTATGCATTTTAATTTTACTGAAAAAGAATAAGACATCAATATAAACCAGAGTTTAAGTTCAAAATGGTGTCTGATTTTAATGCCACTTCACAGTTGTATTTGCTGATGATACATATGTGTCTCATGACAGGATTACTACCAGAATGCATCATCTTAAAGGTCCATTGTACAAACATGTATTTTGTAGCTATCTGTGTTACATAATCATGTTATGCACACTTATGCTAGCAATCTTTCATCTTCAAAGAGCCACATCACTTGTCTGCATGAAAAAAAAAGCTCTGCAGCTTAAAGATTGCTCCCTCCCCCCTCAAGAAACAGAGTATTTCATGAAATAAAATATAGTAGGGACTAATTCAGTTAAGGATGTGATTGTGCACTGATTCACAGAGTTATGGAAGTCAGTTTCCACATGTTGATTCCTTGTGAACTTGCTGTGTTGTGCAGAAAATCTCAAATGTACAATTTTGATAGAATGAGGGAGCAGTTACCAGAGCAAAGACAATATTACACCTGCATTGCAAATGTTCTTAGATTTAGGTTTATACTTGGATAATGATTACTGTGTACAAAGTACAGCAGTAGACTTTGAAGTCAGATCATGGCTTAGCATTAAGATATCTTCCTCTGTCATTTATAATTGAATTCAACAAGAAATGGCTTCGCTATTCTTATTGACTTCTACAGGTTTGTCACCATCCACTTGGGTGCATGTTCTTTCACATCTTTTTCCCTCTGTTCCTGAGAGCACACGGCTGCTAGAGTAATTCTCACGGTAAATAACTGGTGACAGACAGAATCATCAAATGGTAGTTGTTGAGTTGTGGAATGGACTTCCAGGACTTTGTGAATTAATTGTAATTAATGTGACTGCTACTGAACTCACACATTTGTGTGTATAAGTCACCTGATGTTACAAACAGACAATAGAGATATGCCTTCGTTGTTCAAATTTAATTAAAACAAAATTTGTTGTTGTAGTGTCTATTCTGATAAAGGGAACTGAATGTGTTTGTATTTTCTTGTTTGTCGCTTCCCTATGTCCTTTTCTGTACAGGTAGAACAAATTGAGTAATGAGTGCCAGTGCCCATGTGTTTAACCCTTTCCATGCTGATTTAACAATAGATGCTGCCCCTGGTTTGTATGTATGCGTGGTAACTTGCGTATAATTCTTCATGGTACAATATGTGAAAAGGAGAAAAAAGATTTATATTTTCTCTGACGGTAAACCATTTAGCATGGAAGGGGTTAATTCAGTTCTCATCTGTTATTCAGGCATCCAGAATGTCTTAATCTTGTATGGGAGCTATAGCCAGTTCTTTAAGGTACTCTTCTTTCTGATGCCTGAATTATTTTGGTAGATCTGCTATTCATTTTGTTTTAATTCTTAAGATCACATATGTAGTGTCTAATACATAAACACATGGTTATTTTGAAGTTTTAATTATGTGATTTAACAGTTTAGTGGTACAAGACAAGTTCCAACAGTGAATCATGTGAACTGGAACAAATATGGTTCTGCTTTGCATCACTTCAAATCCTGGCATGCAGACATTATCCTAACTCAGGTTTTTTTATGGTCTTCCTGATTTCCACATCTGCTTCCATCCAGGTAAAAGATTTGAAGCTTTCATGGTAAATAAATGCATTAAAATCCTCTCACATGATCGGCCACATCAGTGTAGTTGTTTCAAAGACCGTGATGATAGAAACAGAGCATGTCTTCGAAAGTGCATTTATCTCAACACCGACACAGCTGATTGCCCATGAGGATTTTAGCACATTTCTTCCATGTACTTGCCAGTTCATCATTCATTGTACCATTTGATATATAACCTACATGGCTGAAAAATCATCGTTACATAACTCCATGTGACTGCATTGCTCTGGTACCACACAAAACTGAACACTAATTTCCATCTAGGACATAAGAGGTAATTTATGTCAAACTAAACTAGCTCTGGTCATTGTATCATTGAGCCAGTTCCATCTTCTCAACCCAACTTCCTAATAACCACCTTAATGTTATGTTTGTATAGCCTGTCTTCCGTGTGGCTGTATTCTGAAGTTTCCCCTCTAGAATTCTGTAATTTTGCATCATGTAATCTGTAGAAAGAACACACACACAAAACAAAATTTTAAATATTTATTTTATAATTCCGTCACTATACATAAGTGTTCTGTTGTGCTGAGTTGGTGGTCGGCTTCTCTCTCTTCCAGACGATGACTAGACCCTGCTGGTCGCTGGTAGCCAGGAGTGATTCATCGTAGTTGAAGCTGACCCCCAGCACTGGACAGGCATGCCCCTGGAGCTTGTTGACACATGGCTTCTCCTCCCGCTCAATATTCAGGAAGTACACGCATGAGTCCTCACTTCCTGTGACTGAAAGATGCAAGTAAGATGAACTCATCTTATTTACAGTGAAGCAAGCCGATGCTAGTAGTTTTATACGTGTATTGTGCCTTGGCACTCAGTGCCATGGCGGTGCGTTGATGAAAGTCTCACACTCGGGTTGCCTCAGTACTCTTGGGTAGGAGGCTAGGTGGGTCTACAAAGTTTTTATGCAACACACTGCGAGAGTGGCAAATTGAATGTAGTTGGAGTCTACTAGTGTAAATCATACACAGAAATGGATTACTAAATTGTTTCAAATTTTAATTTCCTGCTAGAAGTAGCACATAATTTGAATCAGTTGAATGAAGGCAGGTACCATAAGGCCTTACCCACGCAGGCTCCCTGTCGGAAAGACATGATCGGGCAAAAGATTGAACGGACAAGGCAGTTCTTATGGTGGACTGCAAACTTCCGTTTCAACTGAAGACCTCCTTCCTTATCCATGACCCTGTAACAAAAATCAGGCTGAATATGCATGGGTGTGTGAACTAAAAGATGGTCAGGTTACAGGAAGGCACTATCAGAGACATGTAACACTAGGCCATGTGTCCTGAGTGGAACAAAGCGTACCTGAACAAATATAAAACATTGGCAGCACAGTTGACCAAGAGGGTGGGGTCTCTTGCCTCCCGGCTGATCCATGCTCGCCATGAGATGCAGGTAATGGGGCAGTTCTCAACTACAGTCAATCGACATAGCTTACTGAGCTTTCCTGTCTCCAGATCAAACAGGAAGGATACAATTGTACCCTGCAACACATGGAGCTTAAAGATTATATTTCTGAAATAAGGATTTTCAAATAATACAAAGAAATTGTTTAGTTATATTCAGACACAAAAATGTGAAAGGTCCTTATTGAATTCAGCCTGCCAACGTGAGTTGAAAAACTCATATTTGGATGAAAAGGTGTGAAGTTTTCCATTCTTACCTCTTAAATAAAATTTATGAAAAAATTCCATATTGGTCCACAGCAGAAATACTGAACATATTTCAAGCACTTCTTAAACAACATTCCACTCTCAATGGCCTTTCTTATGCAGGTATTACAGAAACTGTTAAGTAAGCCTTTAGTTGGGCCCTATTCAGAGCCAGCAGAATCCATTTTACATACAAAATCATGAAACAGCAAATTCCTAAAAGCTGTACACTTTCTAGGGGGAGACCACCTGCAATCTCAGAGTTACCTTGTTGTTACCTGCCCACAGCAACTGCCCACTAGCATCACAGGCCAGTGCCAGGACCTTACCCCCCAGCTTGCTGCTGCCACCTCGTGGGTAGATCCCCGTTGACACGTTCAACACCTCGACCATTCCTCGCGAGTTGCCCGCCTGTTGGCTTGTCAAGGTCTGTAGCACACTTATAGTTAGGTGGCTGTGTTCTGGGTAGTCTAATTATGTGGAGAGATAAGGTGAAGGGCTGGAATTATTTTTTGTACATAACTATGTTTTCAAACTGCACATGTCACATAGCAACTGATCAGGAGATGATGATGTAATGAATTATGATTTGGGAAGGAGACAGTTGTGGCCTGTATGAGCTGTGTTAACTTTTTTGCTTGGAAGAACTGAAAAATTCACAAAGAAATTCAGACATAATGGACAGCATCTGGAATCTCCAGAATACAAACCAGGCATTTACTGAACCTCAGTGGGAAGTGGTTATGATAATCTCTGTTTTAGGGAAATGTATTCATTTGGCTGTGGGTAGCATTTACTGGTTGGGACAATACCAAGACCGCTCTTGCTATGAAATGTGAATGTTTTATCACCTCTAGAACAGAAGCTGACACCAAGCCTCAATACCATTCAGATACTGAAATGTTTATCCTTCGTAAATTAAACTAAATTCATAAAATGCTAGCGTGCAGAGCCAGTAAAGTAATCAGTAATGGGCCAGACAAGTACAGTTTGATTCCTGACAGATGTTTTCATCTTTGCCCACACAGCCTCCTCCTATTCAATGGGAATTGGCCCTGGTGGCCAGCATATGAAAGTGATTCCTGCATGGCACTTTGGTACCGGGTCACCACATCTGTGTTGTTACTTCTCTGTTGCCAATATCTGAAGGATACAATCACCATGTTGTTATTGGCAGGTTGGAATAAGCATGACAGCATTTCTGCATCCATCTGATCCTTGACGACACGTAAACACTTCTGACTTGCAACATCCCACAGACACAACGTTGCGTCCAAAGAGCAGCTTACCATCAGGTCATTTGACACTGACCAGTCACAACCTGGACATAGCACAGGAGAAATAAGGGTTTCTGACAATCACTGGTTCACTTTACAATTATGATGGGCTCTGTACATACCTCAGGTATACACACATAAGACATTCCTGGAGTTGGCTATGCTCCCATCCTCAGATGATCAGAATGCCTTCTTCTGAAGGTTTTACCATTAAAATATACAAGCATTTCTTGTTTCCCCCACCTGAGGTATGCTTAATTTATTTCTTGCCTATCATATGCCCCATCCATTTCGTCTCCATTTAGTAGAATACCCTAAGAAATATTTGGCGAAAGGTACGAACTATGAAGTTAATGTGACAGTTGATTACTATTCGTAGTGGTCTCACCAGTAACACCTTTCTTGTGGCCTTTTAGAACAACCTCCACGTGCGGAGGATTCGCTGTCACATTGCAGATAGACACTGTGCCATCAAATGAAGCACAGCAGAGACGTGAACGGTCATTGTTAGCAAACTTTAACATTGTCACACCAGCTGTGTGCTGAAATGAAAAGTGTTTGTCTTATTTTTGTTTTATAGTATCTTGATGTGTTCCACAGCAGTTCTGCATGATCAGTTGAGCACTTACTTGATCAAATATATGATGTACACCAACAAAAGCATAGTTTTCTGCTATTGATGTACCCCCAACAATTGCACGGGAAGCTTCAGCTTCTTTTGTTGGTACAAGCACTCCTTGATCACTTGCAAAATTATTTTCTGACGGAAACTGAGAGATCTCTGGTGATTCACTAATCTGTAAACAGAAACTTGTGTAATTTGAGGTTTTCGCAGCGGTGAGTACGAAGATGTCTGTCTTCTGCGTTGTAGCTATGTGAAGTCTGGTAGAAGTTTGCCAGTGTTTCAGAGGTTCTCCGTCTTAGAGCCATAATTCCATCACTACAACCCAGAAGACAGCCATCTTCGTAGAAAATCATATGATGACGATGATATGAAAACAGTGTCTATGAGCGAGTGCAGCAACTCATTGATTCATTACACTGCAATTATGTTTGGCGTTGTCTTTTGTCTGAGGTATTTTCAATGCATATCCACTTTTGGGAGCTGGTTCTGCTCTTGTCTTCATGTCACCATTATGCTGGTTAAGGTGGTTAGCATACAAGTTCAGTATTCAAAGGGTTCTGGGTTCAATACTAACTGCTGCCACTAATACTGAAAATAAAATGAACATATCCGACATCTGACAAGCTGATGACGGTTGCTGACCCATCTTCTGAAGTATAGCATTATGTTTATGCTAGTATGTTCAAATGTTCTGCCAAATACAGAAATTTTATTTACATGTACATGTACATGCCAAATTGGTGATGATGTGGTATTACTGGAAATGACTGCATCAGTGTGTCCCCGGTTGAATGGTGTTCGTAAAAATTTCCTCAAACAGCTAAACATTGTGAGGTAACAGAAACACAGGTACAGAGCACAGCAGTGAACTGTGAACACTTGCATACATTGAGCTCACCCTACTACTGCTCCTTGCACTGATGCTGCGGCTGTGGATGCTGCTCTGTTCGCATGACACGCCATACCGCTGCTGCAGAAGCTGGCTTCGTATTCTTAGGTAATGCTTCCGAATCACTGAATCCTGCTTGACAAATACACCGTTCTTCTATTAGCAAAATCAAAGTGGTCCACAGAAATCACAGCAGGATTCGGCCTAGCCTGACCTAGCATCATTCTGCAAGTCCCATAATGTTAGTTATGATCTCCTAATAGTACCAACCAGCTTCTTCTAACCAACTGAAGTCTCCCAGTTCTTATGATGCAACATCTTCAAGGAATAAAAAACCCACATTTGGGAAGAGTGTAAACCATCTGCCACCTATGCAAAAGGACGTAAGGTAAAGTTACTATGGTGGCATAAAGAGGAACAGATGTGAAGCTCCATGCATTCTTTAACCTTGGAACTAGATACTCCTGTTGCTGACTCTAGACATGGAGGAGAAACTAACCCCCTGCCCCTGCTGAGAATTGATGACATTCCCACAGCCAAGCACTTGATAAGTTACTGGCTTCTAGACCATAGAAAGTAAAGAAGCACTAAACTCAAGTGGTGAATTATATAATAAAGGGTTAGTGGCATGGAATATGGCTGTCTTTTTGGAATGTTGCACCGTGAGACACCGACTGACTTTTCAGAGAGATCACCCTGATCTTGGAGGTAGTAAGCACCTCTGAAACATCAGTCAATATCAAACAGACACGTGATGGAACATGCAGACAGCAGCCATCTTCATACTCATCCGTGTGAGAACCTTCGATCTCAAACCATGAAACTACCTCTCCTTTTGTGTGTTCCCGCAACAACTGACACCTCCTCCTTATGTAGAGTGTTCCTGTTGAAACAGAAATCATAGGACTATCAGTACCAATAACATAATTAACCTTAAACAGTATTAGTGTTTACCACAGCTGCATCACATCCAAACATGGCATCTTCCCTCCAGACAAGTGCAATTTTATGGAAATAAAACTATATCCCTAAGCATAAACCTACATAATGAGTGATCCTTTTTATCCATAATATTGTGCGGCTTTTGCATATTCGTAGACCCCTAATGTGAATGGCATAAGATTTAACGTCAAAGATGTAACAACAAAATGCAGCGCGGGCCCTTGGTTGTAATAAGTGATTAAAGGTCATTTGGATGTAAGTTCAATTAACGCTACGAGATGGCAGGTATTCTAAGCGTTGTGCTGCCATCTATCAAGTGAATACAGACAACCCCACTCCACTAAAATTTTCAAGGAGGCTATCTAATTTTACGGTGTCCTTTTACATAAAAAGATGTTACATCTCACTACATACTGCAACGTAAATCTTAACACAGAAAAACAACTTGTAAACCGACAAAACGTTGCGACATAACTAGTTTATTACCTATAAAGTAGAAAAAAATAGTCTTGGGACAACAAAATATTTCTAAAATAATATCGTAATACATACTGAAATTTGGATGATTTGGTGCTCGATGAGCGTTATATCTTGCATCAATTGCAAACGCCTGCTGCTGCCACACAGCTGCCATGTTGCATAATAATATAAACAACGACAATGTAAGTCAATACATTAGATATCTTCATAATATTATCAACGAAACAAATTTTACGTACATATTTGACATACTGATCCCTGCGTCATTTTATACTTTTTCTGAAAACTTCATTTTTATTTACCGTTTTAAGGTGTGTGTGAAATGGCCTTGAGTTTGACTTCGATGGCTTACCTCCATATTTACCTCCCCGCCCATTGACGCTTATTTCCTGCAAGGAGGAAGGTGGACGTGTCGTTTGTTGTGAAAAATGCAAGCAATTAAATGTGTTGTAGTAGGAGATGGGTAAGTGTATACATAATTATTTTGTTTCTAGATATTTGCTTTTCCTTGTCATGTATAAGTTGTTACTAAATTCTGTTTGCAGGCAATGCATTTTGTCTCCAAATTCCAGGGATTGGTTGTGTGTTTGTGCATGTAGGTAGTGGTTATTAGCAGTTTTAGCTATTATATTTGTCTTTTGAAGGAAGTTGGTGCGATTGTTTAACAGGTATATATGTTTGATCATTGGTTCTGTTAATGTTGCATTGTGGTGTGTTAGAATGTGTTCCATTATTTTATTTCACTGTGATAGGTTTCATTGTAGATAACATGACACTATAATTAATAGTTCCTATTGTAATTCCATTGATATATGTGTTTTCAGTAACTTTCACATGTAATGCTGCTCAGAATCACGGATTTTATATTTGTATTTTCTTTAGTCGTTCGGAAACAGTAATGTGTTGGTTCCTTTAATTTTATTGGGCGGTTCATTAAATGTCTGTTTGATATATACAAATTGTATTGTGTGTGGGGGAGAAGAATGTAGGATACTTCATATTCGTGAATTACATAAAATTCTTGGAACAGCTCCAAGATGTTCAAGGTTCAGCAACATTGTCAACTTGTAACATCATCTTTGCTCTGTAGACATTTTTGTGTTGTTGACAGGATGGGCCAGAAGTATTTGATGTTATATTAACACAAATATTGTTTATATTTAAACATACCACACGCATTCACATTGTGCAATTCGTGGAAGTAGCTAATGACAGTTCTATAAGCCACACTGAGGTATAGGATGCTGGGTTCACCACTTGTTTGGTGTGCATCCAACCTCCTCTCCAGTAAGTTTGGGGTTCTTTCCTTAGTAGATCAGCTGGTATGAAGGTTCGTCACCTGCCCCGATCTGGCACAAAGGTTAAAAGTGTGTGAAGCTGTTCCTCCACTCCCCAATAAAACTGCATGACACGGTGTTTAGTTAAAGCAACTTGTGTTTGCATTGTGGCAGTCGCTTGTGAGATCTTCCAAGCAGTGCTGTTAATGTTCTTTCTGACATGAAAATATTCCCCATCTTAAAACTGTGTGAAGTGTAAGTAAGGAACAGAGCAAGCAATTAAATGAAGTACTGTAACAAATGTCATTCTGCAAAAATTAGGACTGCTTGGGTCATACTAGAACCAAAATAAATTTAACTGCCCTGAACCACTTAACACTTGCCACTGAATACAAATTTTGTTAGAGAAATATAAGAAGTATGTCTACATGTGAGTGGAAACCAATTTTATTTTCATTATTGCAGACATTGTATGAGCAAAGCATTCATAAAAGACCGGTCACCAGATTGTGAATTTGTTCATTTATTTATTTTTAATTCTGCAGGGATATCATTGCTTGCAGACAGTGAGTGAAGCTTGTTTAATTATTTATGCTTTCAGCAGTTCAGTTTACGTAGTGTCAGCTGGTAGGATGATTCATGAATAATTAGTTTGAAAGGAAATGGTTATGGTCCAGTTGAAGTTGTTCTCCTGACATTTGTCAGTCTATGGGCCAGAATTTTAATCCATGTCTCTCAAAATTTGAATCTAGAGTGTGTTCCACTTGACCACTTAACAAACGAACCCCTGCACTCATAACTTATATAACCATTTCTTCATGTTTCATGCCATCCTTTACTTGAGTTATCCATCATTTTCAGGGTCTTGCAAGTGGTCTTCATGTCATTTCAATTCCTTGTACGCGACTTAATTGTATGGTTTAAGAGTGAGTGGATGGTAGTAAGAAAATCCATTTAAACTCGTAACCAAGAAGGAAATCCCCCGACTGTCGGTCAGCCGCTGATAAGAATTCTCTGGCTTCTCTTCCTTCCTGCAGTTCTCTTCCTATCTTTTGTTTCATGCGCACGAAGATTCTGATGACAATAGGATTTGAGGTTCTCATGGCAGTGAGAATGAAGATGGCTGTCTTCTGGGTTATGAGAGTCCCATTACTCATCACCCTGAAGATGGTGGCAGTAGGGACATTTTGAGACATCAATAAACTTCTACAACAATCCAGCAGACAGCATTCTTCATTTGATGACCTATCACCTTTACTGTAATATTGCTATGCTAGTGGAAGGGGCATGTTGAAAAAAGGGGGGTGATGTTTCAAATCCTCACCTTCTGTCTTCCTGTCTAATGGAAGCAGAATTCTTTTATTTACTGCATCACTAGTGAAAAAGCTTCGATACTGCTTTGTTTCCAATGCACTTTTTAAAAATGTAAGCCAGTATTTCATTTGTGATAACTTAGGCCACCCAGCATGGCTGAACCCCTAGACCTGTCTATTGAGGGGCGTATCAGAACGGTTCTGTGCAAGGAAAAATGAAATTGCCGAATTTCAGATCGCCCTAGCTGTGGAGTAGGAGTGTGGTTGCATCAGTTGAGTGCCAGATCTCATTGAAATCCATTGAGCGGTTGTAGAGATGAACGGAACTGAACGTTTCCATAAAATGTGCAGTCGTAATCTTACTGCCATGCATTTAAGGTGTTTCCGGAAGCTTGACTCATTGTGTGCGATTGATTCCGCGTGCACTTCCAAGAGCAGCTGCTGCTCTCTTTATCTCACAGCTTGGAGCATTTTCGTTCATAATTTTCTTCTTTGTTTGTATGTAACAAAGCTAATGAAGTTGCGTATTCCAAGAGTCGGTTCTGAGTTCAAAATATTTCTCTCACTCACACGTGTAAGGGATTGGGTTCACTGCATAGATTGACCCGGGGGGGAGGGGGGGGGACGAAGAGCAATGTTCGATCTGGCCCTTTCCTTCTCGCTTTTCAGATTAACGTCCTGTTGCTTTAATTAAAATTTTGCCTTCTGCACATCATCAGAACTGTGGTTTCGTGTTCCTCGCCAATGCAGTCAGGTAAAGAAATTTTGCCTGGCATCCCCGATGGTCCGCTCTGATGACATCGATTTGCTTCATTCAATCATTGCCTGTGGTCACGTGCTGTTTCTGCCTGTCGCGGAGTGGAAGGCCGGGATTCGGTCCCGACTAGAAGCTCGAAGGCGGCTCAGGTGACGTGCTATACGGAGGAGGATGAGCGTGACGCTTCGGCCGCTTTGAGCCATCGGATGGTGCATCCGAAGCCACTTGTTGTCCGTCCGCTCAGCGAGATTATTTAGCCTGCGGAAGAAAGTGGGCAATTGATTTCCTCGGACCGGCATACATGAAGGCACTTCGCGGACGAGCGACTGCTTCGCACGTGGCCATGATCCCCGTTCTTGTCTTTCGGAGTCTGCCGAATGCCCCCAGTTGTAGGCCACCCCAGCGTGCGTTTCTGGACCGAGCGATACGCGGGTTTGGTCGACTGTTTATTGTTCTTGCATATCAACAGGTGGCCCGATCGCTCGCATTCTTTCTCCAGTGGCGTTAAAACTTTTAAGGATGTGAGTTGCGAAGAACAGCCCTTGTGGTCTTTGTTGCCCTCGAAGCCCAGCAGCTAACAGTCGGCGTGTCTGCATTTTGTATTTAAGCGTTTCGTATGATTCTCGCAGGAAACAGCTGTTATTTCCTCGAACGCCATCGACCTGTTTCATTTGCCGTGCGGACAGAATTCTTGACGCATGAAGTAGATGTTAGCGTAAGCGAAGTCTTCTTCTGATTGTGTCCTAAACCCCGGACTGCAAGGAACAGTGCATACCCTGTGAAACTGCTAGTCGCTCAGCTGTTCAAGAAATTCCTCAGACAGAGATGTATCCTGTCCCAGTCTCCGGTCAGAGATGACGTTCAAGCAACGCGCACCGCGAGGTGTGAGATTTTCACAGCGATTTGGAGTGGTGCCTGAAGATGGGGACGGCGCTTTCATTCAAAACCAACCGCCCACACGAGATCTAAAATTGCAATTAAGCGTAGTTTTGTGTATCTTAACCTTAGGACAGACAGACCTGGGGAATCGTCGTTCCGCCCCTCAACCAACGCTGGCATTGCCATTCTTTCTTTATGGCGTTGTATCTTCGGGCTCTGTGAAGTTTATCCCCCCCGGGCGCTTCATTCCCGACGTCGTTTTACGGGTATAAGCAAACACCGGCTCACGGGATGAAAATAAAAGTAAACGCCGGATTTTGACGATCTTGGGGCGCGCCTCATCGCCGATGCAACGAAACAGAAGAGGTTCTCTGTCAGGGACAGATAACTAACTAACTAACTAACTAACTCGTGCTTGAGACAGCTCTGCGGTTGATCGCCGGATGTAAAGCGGGTGCTTGGAGTGCAGAGGCAGTGCCGCCACGCTCGCGGTGGTCGGTCCAGCGTCAGTGGTTCGGCGTCCACCCCGTCGAGGTTTTCTCCCCTCTCTTATGAGACCCGAATTTTGACAAGAATACGCCACTGGCCAAGGAATATTAGGCGAAGAATAGAAATTATAAAGACGCGCATTATGTACGTATTTTTCTCCAGTCTCATGTCACTTCATCCCTCTTGAGTCCAGGTGTGCTTCTCTCACCACCCTCAGTCTCTGCTCTGCCCTTACAGTGAGAGACCTCGCTAGTTGATTGAGTGTGACTTTTGAAACATTTGTCGATTATATTTTTCGTACTGCATTTCTTCGTGTGCTGGCGTCTGTTACCACTTTGTCTGCTTGGAGGGTTTCTGCAAATTCTTTGATTCAAGGCGAACTTCGTAAATTTTGCAGCTGACTTCTGGGTGTAAGCAAACTCGGTGTTGTGTTCATTCGGCGCCAGACGCTGGACGGGCTGCTGGAAGTCCCCGCTTACGCCGTGCGAAATATGCGCGCTCGTTGGTTGCAAACTTCGATATTTATAGATGCTTCTTGCCGTCCATCTCGCAGCACTGGAGGGCATTCGTCCGCGCTCGTCTCTGCGTGGTACAGGATTTTCCTGTAAAAACATGACAGCCGCTCACTCGCGCGGTCTACTTACTACAAGTTGCTCTCACGTGATTCAGGAGCCTGAAGAAAACCATGTTCACAGAAGCTCGCCATTGGGTCTCTTTCAGGCCAAGATGGGCGTGTTCTGGCTCTGGCGCCGTGTGGTCAGTCTGCTGCAACCCGGAAGACACCAGTCTTCGTCATCGCCGCCTTCAGATCCCCAAATCCCGCTTATCTTAAGCCACTCGAATCCAGCGTACTCTCTCGTGCTCCTTCCAAATGTTTTCTGTTTTCTTCAACTCATTGGAATCGCGCATTTCTCATCCCGATGCGCGTTGCACGGCCTTGGTTTAATCGCGCACGTGTTCCTTCGTCCGCCCGTAGCTCCATGTACTCTCCCAGGGCCCTTGCACCTCCGAATGTGGGCCTCCTGAGGAAAATACAGACAATCTCTCGATGGCCTGACGAGATTTCGGATTCTCGCAGCTCAAAGATGTCGATGTTGTTCCTCCGGGTTGCATTACCGTGTGCATTTGTACGCAGATACCAGCGTTTCGGAGGAACATTCCGTCTCCATCTTCATGACTTCTCCATGGTCTGAATTCGGTCGTCTTGCCACTTGTTTCGTAATGAATCGACTGTTTTCCAGCCGTGAACTTGGCGATCGTGATGCGTTATAAAATGCTGTAAGGGGCTGAGGCAAACCACGAAGATCGTGTCAAGGTAGCCAAGAAGAGAACCCAGGACCTGAGGTCTCAGCATTCAAGAGCCGAGATTCGAACCAGAGTCATTCTGTTGGTTTGGTTGCGTCATTTAATTGGTGGTCATGACGACTCAAAAAAGAGAGAAAGTTGAGACGTTTTGAATTCTGAAGGCATTTGTTCTGTGAGTCACTGGGCAAGTGAACTCTGCGGTTGATTCATCGCCGCATTCGTCACGCCTCAGACGAGAACGCCAGAGTGAGGGAGGAAGGGGGCGGTGAAATTATTCCGTGTAATGCCGCCAAACACGAAATTATATCGAAATCCGTCGAGTGCTTCCGAAATTCAAAGACACGGACAGACAGTGTCGTCGGGCATCCCCTCCGCAGCCATCTGCAGATTAATTCCGAAACTTGATTCCTCCGGACGCTTGGTAACAGTCCCTGTGTGGAGGATCGGCTCTGTACCTCGATCTCTTCGGACGTCGCTCCAGCTTCGTTCGTATTCGGGACTCCCGTGTTCAGATCTCGGCCAGTAGACCGGCTGGTATTTCTCGTGGTTCCCGTCAGAGCCCCCCCTGCAAACGCCGCGTAATCTGGGCGCTTGAAACTGCGCGTTAATTAAACCGGCCTCTTTTTTTGTGTCCCGAGGTCACTGGGGCGGCCGCCGACCGACAGGTTTGTGACGTCACGAAGTATGACGACATCTTATCCGAAGCTCTGGCCTTCTATGGGCATTATTCAAATTGTTCGTTTTCTGATTGGCTGGGCGTTAGAAGGAAGGCGGTGCGCCGCGTAAGTTAATGATGACCAGTTGATTTAGTTCCTGTGCGCAAGGGGTCCCTTGAGAGGCGTTCATTTTATTATGACCCAATGTAAGTCATGATATCAGTAATTATATTTTCTGGCTTACGAGAGCTGTCATCTGATGGCGTTATCGTAGATTACGCGGTCTGACCGTCATCAGGAAATACGAACGTCAAGATACGCCGTTTCCAAGAAGCCACTAGCGTGGAATAAGAAAGCTCTCGCTTTTATAACATTGTCCAGGAAGACGCGCGGGCTTCTTTTACATCGCACAAGAGACGTTCAGCCCCGGGGGGGGGGGTGCCTGAAGTTGGACGTCTGTACATGAATCTCGCTGAATTCCGTGGCAACAGAACAGGACTTTGGACGCCACTTCAAGCCAAATGATATCCTGTCTATCGAATACACATTTTAATATTATCCGACACTCATTCTTTCGGTCTTCAACGGGTTCCTCTGCCACAAGATTTGTTCCGCATCCGAAGCCTTTTAATCGGCGAGAAAAGGTTTTGGAAGGTTCAGAATTCGTCCTGTGGGGCGACGAGTTTCTCTAGTTGAAACGTTGCGTCGTTGACCGTAAACCGTCGGTTCGTGCTTAAATATTTAAGGTTGGTGTTGCCGTGGAGCTGTGAATACTTGAGCTGCCTGCAACTTCTGTCTGTTTTCCGGCAAGAAACCGGGTAAGATAAGGCGTGAGGCTCACTTTACATTCTGATTATTTGATATTCGGGAGGATGCTCGTCCAAGACACGGATTTGTTTAACCTTGCTCCGTTTAGACAGGTTCATCGGCGCAGAAAGTCGTCTTGGATTTACAGCCGAACACTGCGAAGTCCCTGCTTGATTGATTGAAGTTCAGTCGTTGTGGTACTGCGACGGTGCGCTCGGGACACCGGATTTCGTGACGCTCTCAGTGGTTTTCCTTAATCCCTCAAGGGGGGTTCGGTACCTCCGCTGCTTCTCGTCATGTATACCCTGAATGACCTTCGTGCCCTTCTGCTGCTGTCTCGAACCTCTACCGGGAACAGAACTCCGGCCGGCCATCCTGTAGGCGGAGACGTCCCGGTTTGTGAGCATGAAGCGTTCTATTTTTTCGTGGGAAGTCTCAGACTTTTAGCAATTTTTGTAAATGCGCGCAACATAATTCACGTAGTACTTACTTTTAAAAAAGTTCATTAGTTTACTTTCTTTTCGAATTCTGGAAGAGAATAATTAGCATCTGTTGTATGCGATAGGAGAGGTTTGCAGTAAAATTCTGAACTGTGCTAAAATATGTTTTCTCCGACCTTTTATTGTAGCTCCACTATAATAATCTTCCTTTTTATGGGTGAGACTGAATCAGTGTGTTGATGAGCAACCCTTTGCATGTGGCTAGCTGCCTTCCGTGTGCGCTACAGATTGTCCGTTTCCGACTCAGATTCTTCCGTCCTGATGTTCAATGAGAAGCGCAGATTGTGAAGCTGCTCCCCGTTCTGCGGGTTCCTCCGTCCACTTGTTATTTCCTCCCTCGCATGGTCAAATGCCCCCCTCCCTTTGTTTTGAAACAGCTTCAAGTAATCCCTTATGGGACAGACCAAATTCTACACTCATAAAAGTATAATTTCGCCCTTAGACGGGAGGCAAGGTGTTGAGAGCTGAAGCTCTCTCTTGTGGCATTTTACCCCCACCTCCTCACCCCCTACAGATTCCCCCCACCCCGCTCAGCAAGCTTAGAGATTCCCCCCACCCCGCTCAGCAAGCTCTCTGTGGGAGTTCTCCGTGGCTGCAAGCCAAGAAGGAGCCCACAATGTGTAAAATTGTTATTATTAACCATCGTCCGAATTCAGTGCACAGCAGCTCCTCGTGGTGGAGGAATTTCTGGCTTTCGCGGGACCGAGTATGAAGATGGCTGCCTTCTGATTTTTGCCATGTAGTCTCGTAAAGATGGTTGTCTTTCTGCCTTCCCTTTGCCTATCAGTCGCTTTTATAAATCCGTTCTAGCCTTTTCTTTGTATTGTTCTAAATCTTAGTTTTATCCCCGTTCATGTTCGGCAACTTCTCCTGCATGTGTGCAGTACGTGTAGTCTAAACATGTTTTCGCCGGCGTTCCGCCAGAGAGGCGACACGCTGTAATGGCGTGGTGCTTGGACACAGAGACAAGTGGCAAGTGTCAGAACAACAACGAATCTTTGTGGTAGAGTTTTATAGTTTAACTCCGTGGTGCAGCATCTTTTCTTGCGAAGCAAATTGTCGCAAAGTTTCCGCTTCCATGCAACCCAAAAGTTTGTCATTTTGTTCTCAGTAGTTTATTGCAGTTGGATCCGCAACTCTACTCCAGGTACCCATTGTATGGCAGGCTGGATGGCACATGCAGTGGCAGTGATGGATGGATATGTGCCTTTTAAAAATGTTGTGTGCGACATCTGATGCCCTCCATGTCATGTGGTCTAAAGGGTAGCAATTCTTCCTGTAATTATATTAATCCTGTGTTTTGTTTCTTGCAGTGCGGTTGGTAAGACATGTTTGCTGATAAGCTACACCACAAACGCCTTCCCAGGAGAGTACATCCCAACAGTGTGAGTACAAATTTAATTTGTTTTCAAGACGTGGCACAGTGAAAAATATGTCTGTGGTTAAAATTCATCGTTATCTCTGGATAAGGACACAAATGATCAGGAAACTTTTAATTCCAAATGCAAAGCAGGGAGATAATCATTTTTAATTCTAGAGGAATGTCTGATGACATTTTGATGGGGTTTAGAAGAGGCATAATGTATATACCACGGAGCACTGAAGAGAGAGTGAGATAGCCGTTCCAAGTAAATGTTTGAGGGCTTTGTTGATGCCTTGGAATTTTGACCATCTGATTATCTGGAAACATGGTCACAACTCACATATTGACTCAGTATATAAAAGGAATTAAATTCACTCATTGTTCTCCCGACTGTTCAAGTTCAAACACCAGAAGATATGTAAAATAAATAACCATTTGTGAAACCTTATGCTAGACCTGACAGATTTCCCATAATTTAGGAGCCACATCGAAGAACTAGGAACTACAATATGTATAATCTAAAGGAAATGTTTTTGCCATGTTTGCTATGAAGTGGAATAATAATCCGTGGCGTAACAGCCCTTTGAGAGGCAAAGCTGGCTGCTGGCGTTCACTTGCCTAAGCAGAGGTGAATGATCATCCATCCAGATACAGGGTGACGTGTGGTCAGCACGACGAACCCCCAGCCATCGCTACTTTTAATGACCGCATTACACTACCCGATTTCCTCATGATGCTGGGTTGGCACCGGTCCCCTACACCGGTCAAAAATCTCATGAGAAATTTCTTTCCCCGAGACTCGAACCAGCGCGCATTCCATATCACCGGTCCAAAGCATGATGCCACAGACCGCGCGGCTACGGCGCGCTGTTTTCACAGTTAAAACCCAAAAAGTTAACATAATAAATAATATGCAGTGATACAAAACCATTAGAACATGAAGATGTGATAGAAAACTGTGGCACCATTCCATAGAAAAATACTGCTGCAAATAATATAGATGTATTCTTCTTGCCTGTATTGGATAACTCAAAGTCCACGATATAGAAAGTATGAAGTATAATACGATAATTGAATTGTAGGTCTCGATAACAGTAGTATGTTTTGTAACTTACTTGCTGCCGTACATATTATGGTGTTTGTTTCAGATTTGACAATTACTCGGCAAATGTTATGGTAGATGGCAAACCGATCAACTTAGGGTTATGGGACACGGCAGGACAGGAAGATTATGACAGGTTGCGTCCGTTATCTTACCCGCAGACTGTAAGTACACTCCGTGTAGATGATCTATGAGTTGCCCCTCATATTGTATATCTGTTGTTCTGTTGATTCTTCTCTGTCATCATCGATATGCAGCTTGTGAAGAGAAGTGCCTGAAAATGTAATTTTGTATATCTTTAAAATTTTGTTGTAATTGTTGTAACTCATTTGTTTCGTTTTCTTGCAGGATGTGTTCCTCATTTGTTTCTCACTAGTGAACCCTGCATCGTTTGAGAATGTAAGAGCAAAGGTAAGAATCGCCATCGTTCGACCTAATGTTTGAGGATCAGGCTCGTCAGCCGTACTAAAACTGACTTTGGTCAAAATTCCTTTCCCTGTGTGGCCAGCAGTAATGCTTTGTAGGTAAATACTGTGAATATTGATAGATTAAGAATAAAATCTGAGTACAGCTTAAAATTTCATGACCGAGCATGAAGTGATGCTAGCATTTCTTCCACCGTATAAGTTGGAGTTACCCTAAGTGACAAGTCTGTTTATTGTTTCATGAAAATCTGTTAATTGGTACAAAAGTTGTTAGGGTGAGAACAACAAGGCCACACAGACGTGTTGGTACCGTAGCTTATAAAATAACAAAATGGGGATAAAAAGTGCGGCTTGTTCTGTGATGCCCGTGAGATATTTTATGATTAGACAGGATTTCACCTCTTTCCGAAACTTGCTCCATTTCCTGCTTTAAGAAATGTTTTTAACATTGTGTGCAGTGGTATCCTGAGGTGCGACATCATTGTCCGAGTACCCCCATCATTCTTGTTGGCACTAAACTGGACCTGAGAGAAGACAAGGAAACCATTGAGAAGCTGAAGGACAAGAAGCTGGCCCCAATCACATACCCTCAGGTACACGAACATGCAGAGCCTTCGCTGCTAAGCCATAGACTTGCTGGTTTGGTTAGTCTCTTCAGATCTTAGCAGCTGTTGCTTTCACCTCATCCCTACCTCCTGATGTATTTATATTCTGTACTTTCTAAATAGATTGCTTCGAAGGCTTTATATTTTTAATTGTTTATTCCATTGCTCTGTTTCATTTCCCACTCTTTTTGTCGTCCTCCGTTTTTCTTTTTTTTCACACTTCAGGTGTGTCACATATTTGCTGGAAGTTTGTGGATTGTGAGAATAACCATGCGGGGCATTTAAAACTAAAACCACAGAAAGCTTTACGTGATGACCAGGTGCATTAGTATGAGATGTGTTCTCATATAACAATCTTCTTTAAGATAAATTAGCCAAACAGATATTTATTGTTCTCATATTGTTAGTACTAGTGACAAAGGTCAGTATTGAACGTGGAATCTTTGGATTGCTAAATGTAGTGCACCTGGTATTCCGTATCTCAGTTTTAAGACTGCCACACGTTTGTCCAATTTGGCAAGATGGAAAAGGTACTGGGACAGATATTAGTAGAGTGCCTGAGGTATACCATCAGGCACAAAAGTTTTTGCCATAAATGACTGCGACATATACCGGGTGATGACCCTTATTTATCAACTCTGGTTTTTCGCTTCTTCTGAACCATTAACACTTTGCATGTATTATATAACTCTTCTTTGTGAACAGTTTATCACGTGATGAAATAGCCTTGCAGCAGCCAGTATGCCAGTATGCCGGCACTAAACATACTAGACTAGTGGTTAGCACACAAGCTTGGTATGCTGACAGCATGTCTGTCAGTGTTACGTCAACCAATTATCTAACCAAAAGCATGGAGCCAGCTGCCAATTTAAATGTTCCTAATGATGTTCTCTCACAGGGTCTGGCCATGGCAAAGGAGATCGGCGCTGTTAAGTACCTAGAATGCAGTGCGCTAACTCAGAAAGGCCTGAAGACGGTGTTCGATGAAGCAATTCGGGCGGTCCTGTGCCCCGTCCTGCAAGTGAAACCGAAGCGGAAATGCGTCTTGCTGTAGACTGTGGCGTATAATACCGAACGATTGTTTGAATTTAAAGCCACCTTGGAAGTGGAAGTCAGCCTTATGTAGGCGTAGTGCCAGTGGATGGGGTTCAATGGGTCCATGTCGTGTGGTTACAGATCCAACTTAATGTTTCTGTTGGATTCTGTTCACCTCTTTCTTATAAAGAGGTTTGCTGATTAACAGATTTTTACCTTAAATGTTCTTCCAGTGAAATTTATTTAACAATGTTTATCAGGATGGAGCTGTGCACTGCTTCTAACAGAAATAGAGCATTGACTTTTATAGCGGTTCTCTACGAGAGTTGTAATGATGTACTGGAGTCCTGCGTGAACGACTCGCTTATTTTCATTACGATATCTGTGCGTGTAATTGAAAGCGTACTCTGTCTTCACAAATATTTTTCCACATAACCTTTCATTTTTGTACCTTTCCTCTGAAGGGAGTCCTGTTATTGTTTCAGCTTTTTAGTTGCCTTGTCATATACACACACACGTCTTTTCTGGTATCAGCAGTTTATATAAATTGGAAATTAGTCTTTGATAATCTTGTTTGCTTTTAGCCTGCACTTAATAGAAAAGATGTGTATATGATGACAATATAAGCTTCATGCCCAATTTAATTTTACAAGAGCTCAAAATTTTACGCTGTCTTGCATTTATAGGACAATGGTAATTATACGTAGACTACCACACGCTTTAACGTTAAGTAATGCAGAATTTCAGTTACAAAGTTTGCTTGTGGCATTCGTTTCTTTCAGAATAAATTTGTTGTTTCCCTTACAGATCAGATGCAGTATGTTTTCTTGCAGATTACAACTGACTTAAAAATCTTATCTTCATCAGTTTTTACCCCCATAGAGTTGCGTTTTACATGCTGCATTGAAAAATCATGCACATTGCTAGAAAACTTGACTTAAGATATATTTGTGACCTGGAAGTACAAAAATTGCTGAGTATCTATGCATGATTTGTCAGTAGCAGTGTAATTGTGGTCTGGGATGGTTTCCCATTGTCCTCGTTGTGATATGCTGGCAGTAGTGAATAAAAAGTACCCACTGAGTGATTGGAACGGATGGTAAAGGTTTTGTTCCTGCGTGTATGTCGTAAGATTGAGTCGGTACCTGCCTCAGTTTGTTCAGTTTTGTGTTCTGTTCTGCTAAGGGAAGGAACAGTGTAATTTACATTTGCAAAAAAAAAAAATGTTTTTCAACTGCACCGTAGAAGTTTTACTTAAAGATTGAAACTGCAGCGTGTCAACTATGAATTTATTCTGCCTTGGTTTGATTGGTTTTCTAACCACTCTTATATCAGCTCCTTCGTTGAATTTCTTACGGCTTCGATGCTGTGAATGAGTTTTTGTACTCGGGAATTCCAGCCACTTCTATTGTGAACACCTTTGAGGTTAACACTCTGAGTAAGAAGAAAAGCATTTTTTGATAAATAAAATTCGGTATGGAAAGAATTAATGTCTGATGGTCTTATAAGTTCAGAACTTTCCTACATCTGACTGAAACTTCAGACCAGTCTAAATTGTCTTGTAGGCACGTTTTGGAATTCGTATTGAGCATGGATCCTACAGAACATTTTTTGTTAGTGAGAAGTTCTGTTTCATGGCTTTATGTTGTAATGTTACGTTCATATTAATTTTGGAAAATGTTTGTCAATCAAGCATTAATTTCATTAGGATAATAGGATTTTTATGGTGATAAAATTATGTAAATCATATCTCCCATCAGCTGACTGTGTTCGGTTCCTGATATTGACATTGTTTTAAAATCGTATTAAATTGAAAAAGCTAAGTGTTCAGAGAATAGCAGGACGAGTTACTTCTTGTTGCAGCTGAACCCAAATTGGGGGGGGGGGGGGGGGGGGGTCCCCCCCCACAAAGCATATCATATGTACAGTGTGCCCTGTAAGCGCCAGTCTTGCCTCATTTCAGCATTTGTTGGACAGTGAGTTACTAATTTTGGCATATAAAAAATAACTTTGTATTACAAAGAGCTAGTGAGAAGTCGATTGCTTGAGGCTTCGTTAGCTTTTTATTGTAACTGTGCAGGATTTCTCCTTTTTTTCTTTCCCAACATAAACTGAATCAAATATTTTGTTATGCTAATGCTTGTGTCTGATCATGTAAATAATTTTTTACTGTAAATGAAAAATATTTTGATCGTGAGTAAATGTTATGGGGTATAACTTAAGTTGTAGTTTTCTAATGGCTATTACTATATTGTGAACTTATAGGCATATTGATCCTTGATCATAATCCCTTTTAAATGTTCAGAGTAGATTGTTGTTATGGCAGAATCTGTTATGTAGCTGAAGTGAGATGTTTTAGACTGGTGGTGGTTTAACTGTTAATATGATGTCTGTTCTGTATTAAAACTACCTGAAATGAAAAAGTGTGTGTTATGTAGTTGATGTTGATGTCTGTGCCCATAGATTGTTTATAAAAAAGTGTTTGCTTCTTCACATTCTTTGTATTGGCATGAGAGAGGTGTCAGATTTTAGAGTTTAGGGGCAGCTTATACACGCACATACTTTGCTGTAAAAAAATGAACAGTGGTGGATTTAAGTGTTTTGTGATGTCAGTACATTCGTTATTTAGAATCCCCTCCCCCCATTTGCAGTGTTCCTTTATATTGGAACATGGTTAATGCCCAATTATTTAGAAGAAACACCCCACGCTGTTTCAATTTTTGGACTTTTTGGTCTTGTCCAATCGAGTTCGGATAAAAAGTGAAAGACATTGATTCTATTTTTCTTTTCAGCTTAACCAGAGCCTTATGTTTTGTGTGTATGTATGTAGTAGCAAATACTGTATTTACCTAACTATGAAAGGACATCCAATCTGAGCTAGAGTTGGGAATGAATGAGAGGAGAGAAGACCGTTATCATCAGATACATGCTGTTTGTTGTTGTCCTCTTCCTTTTTCAAGATTTTCCAGTCATTATTCTTGGGCAACCCGCATCTCTTTGTCCATTCTCCAGTTTGTTTGTCTTCCATTCATGCCAGTCATATTTGCCACACTCCTATTCATTTCTGGGAGGTTCAAAATCTTTATTTCCACGACAAATACTATCACCTGTGTTATGAAAGTACAGCAAGCAGTGCACCTTGGCAGATCTTTGCAGATTCTGTTTTGTCCTGTAAGTTCTGTTTGGAGCCCAGTTTCTACATTTGTACAAAAGTGCTGGAAGTTTCATGTCTTTAGAAAATTTTTATGAAAAATACTGTGCGAACAATTTTTTTCGATAGTGCCATATGTTTGTCACGTTTGTAAGCAGTTTGTTTTCCACAGCACACTGAAATTGATTTCAGCAATTTATTGATTGGTTTTCTGTATTATGATTTGCATACTTGTACCTGCAGTGTACAAAACGTGCTTTAGTTTTTCATGTCTTGTCCAGATGCATTAAAATTATTGATTGTGGTGTTTAATGATGCTGTCAGTAATTCAGCCTCTGTAGCATGGATTGAATTATGGTGCTGTGTGATTACCACTCTACATACAAGACCACACATTGCTACAACACAAATCACAAATTACATTTTTGTCACCATAAGAACCTGATTAACAGCCACAGTGATCTAGTGGTCAGAACACTAGCCTTGTAATCCTGGGGTCCCGGGTTCAATTCCCGGTGGTGCTCAGATTTGTAACTTGTGTTGGGCAAGGCCGTGGTCTAGGCATCACGGAGTTTTCCTCCGGGGTCTTCCCCGGTTTCTCCGTGGCATCCCAACAATTACTCCATTCACACACAGAAGAAGGCAATGGCGAACCACTTCTGATCATCTGCAAAGAATGTATATATATGTATGAACGGGTCCCTGACAACCTGAAGAGGATGGAAGGACCCTGTTCATAGTATATGGACCTGTCGTCAGACAGAACACTAATAATAATAATAATAAGAACCTGATATGTCGGATAATGTTAAAATTACTTATGTTGATTCTTGGTGCTGCTGGTGTGGTACTACTGCATCTTGTGTATTTGCATTCTATAGTCGTGCGTATAATTGCTCATGCTTCACATACTCTCAGGTCCTCAGACAACTGATCACACAGCATCATAATTAAGCTCTGTGTTGTAGCTAAGGTGGTTTTAAGATGAACGTCGGGTGCAATCAAAATATTACCCCACCTCAGAAATGGATTCCTTCACCCTTGCCAGACAGACATGAAGTAGAAAGGTCAGAATATAGCTGAATATATTAAAAGCTTCTCTTATTGAGATTTTCATTTGTGTGAGTGAGTGATTTGTATCCAGTTTAGCAAGTGGTAAGTGGATTAAGAATCGTGAAGCCGCAGATCAGAGAGTGATCCAGAAGTAAGACTGACTGCCTGTAATGTCAGTAAAATTATAACGCATAAAGGATTGCTCATAGTAGTGAGATATGTTACAAATTGAACTAAAGAGGCCAGCCAAATGCTGATTCCTTACTTTCAGTGCAGTAGAGGTAAATGTACAGAAATATTATTAAACTGTATGTTGTAGGATGGTTTTCTAACGTGTAAGAATGGTATGTAACACTTGTATATTTTTGTGCATACATAGATCAGTGGGATTTTTGTAATGTTAGAATTACTTCAGTAGGTTCTTGAAACTTTCATGTGGCCATCATATTGGTATATTTCAATTTTGTACTTTTCTTTTATTTTCTTTAAGTAAATTTCAAGTCTTCCCATCTTTTATAAGTTTGTATTAAAGTAATTAATGCACATAACATATACAATGTCCCCCAGATCTTGTGCAGCCCCAAGTACCACACTAGCAGTTCAGACTTAGATAGTGGAGAAATAATTGATGTAAATACAGTAAGAAATTTCCTGGTCTTTATGTAGATACAATAATTAGAAATTAAAAATTGGTGATGTGATTTTGAGCAGCATTATTAAAGACTGCCATTGTGTAAAAACGGGATGTAATAAAATAGGATTTAAACTCGGAACATCCAGTGTATGCTATTAACGCTGCTGCTATTCAGAAGAATTAACGTATTTTTATGCAGCCCGTTTTAGAACATTCCTTCACATTTAAGGTGAAGGGAACCTGTTCTTTTAAATGTACATTTTGTCTTAAATCTACCACTGATTGTTACATTTATTCATTTCAGTGATCTGTAAATTGTTTTACATATTCTAAGTGACTTGTTACTGCTGCTGCTGCTTTTTTCGTTTCATTATTTCTTCTTCTAGTGCAGCAGATTTAGGTTCATTTGATGGAGACTTCAGAATGTCCATTTGTAATGCAGATGCCTCTCATGTTTCATAGTATCTTTCTGTACTGAGTGATGTCTCTTTAGTCATAAAATTCTAAGTGAGGAAAGGAGAGAGTGTGTGTGTGTGTGCGCTTTGTTGTTATTAGAGATGATTTATTGATTGTTTCAAATGAGTATATTCATACATGAGTCAAAGGGAAGCATAGAAATAATTACACACGCAGCTGAGGCTTGTGTTCAACATTGGTGATTAAGCTGCAACAACTGTGAGCATTTGTTGTAACTTACAACTAGAAAGTTTAATGTGTAGTGATACAATATGTTTATTTCCTGTAACATTTTTGTCTTACTAACTTTATGGTGAATATTTTGACTACATTCATTGCTTAGCAAGTGAAATTTAATCATTTTATTTATGATTGGTGATAACTGGAAAGTGCTAGGGTTTTCATAAAATTCTTCCACAAATATCTTTGGAATAAAGTAGAAGTGAGATTTAAATAAGGAACTATTAACTCAAATGTTGGTGCTATATTTTCATAGATATATTATTGGATTTCATAAGATTAAGCTACAAGTTTTTAGACATTCTTTCCTGCTTTTAATTACACACGTAAATTATCATATGTGGAATTAATGTTTTTAAATAATAAAATTCAATTTTATTTGAGGGGGGGTACAGTCATTGCCATAATCAGTTTTCTTTCCACATTGCAGGACACATGTTGTAAAGCACGCACAAAATACAACTATTAACATTTAAATATTTTTTTTCTATTTGATTATAATTAAATTACACACGGGTATTTTGGAGTGTGTCATAAAGGTTCGTGATGGGAACAGTCTTTTTAAAAACAGGACATTGGTACTTGATAGCAAAAGTGCAGTATGCTGACTTCATTAGTTGTGTCTTCTAATGCATCTCACTGGTACACTTGGTAGTAAGAATTTCTCTATTTTTGTGTAAATTTGTAACAACTGAAGGAACGGTAAAAGTGTGGTCTGCTTCCTGTAATTGTGGCAGATGTACAAGGAACATTATCACAAGGTGTAGCTCCGATCATAAAGGATTTGCATTATATTGACGATATGTACCATTATTTTCTGCCCTTTATTTAAAATTCCAGTTTGAGTAGATTCCTTATTGATGTGTGACCCAAGAAGTGAATGTAATGCAGATTCTTTGTGTCTTGATTTTAAAAAGTGTACTAATGTAGCAAATGTATGTTCCATTTCGTGTTGAGCAGTCGGCAAAATGGATGACTTCATAATTTCTAATGTATATAATTTTTGTAATGCACCTTTGTTGAGATACTGTTTTTTCTCCCATTATTAGTAGTTAATATTTCTGTCCACATTTAACTTTGTTTGTAAATTGTTAGTAATTTTCAGTTAACATCATAATTAATAGTTGCAGAATACAGCTTTTGAGACACCTCCCCTTTTAATTGTGGCCATTTGTATGTAAATATGAATTTGCAACAGATTAATTACTGATTAAAAATTATAGTATTGTAATTTTTGTGCTTGATAAAAAAGAGAAAGTATGCATATTTCTTACTGTGAATATGTTTGCTTCACCTCCCATTCCAAATCACATTATATGTTAAATTTGTCACATAACTCCATATTTGCTTCAAAATAGTGAATACAGAATGGAGTTTAGGTGCAGAGACTTTGAATGATTTCATGTTGACTTGGTTGCACTGGTTCTTGACTGTGGGAAAATTGACTAAGGCAAACCAAAATTGAAGTTCATCTTTGTAGTGGCATTTCCTCCATTGTCATTACTCGGTGCACTACTTGTTTGTGTGGTTAATTAAAGTAGGATAGATTACTTGCTTAAGTTCGAGGTGTTTTTTTTAATTTTGTGGTGCCAAAAATTATCTGTTCAGTATTTATTAAAAAAATGTAGTTCCCCAGACGGAAATGGCTGCTGTCATGCTTTCCATCAGTAAAAGTTATGAGATCTCAGGAGGGTCAGGAATTGCTGGATAAATTATACAGGTGACAACTTTTAACTGTTTGTTATTTTCCATGATTGTGCATGTTAAATAGTCTTGATGTTTAATTCACAGCTCAGTGAATTCTGAATTTTTCCTTGTCAGTGGTGGTTGTTAACATTTCAATATTTCATGTAAATTTAAGTCATTACTCTAGTTCATGAAACAGTGGGTCTCAGGTTTAAAATCTGAATAACAGAAATAAGCTAACTTTTAATATATCATATTCCAACAATTATAGACACTTCCATGGCCACTCACTTGTGGAATTGAATCAATCTCACAGGAAATTAAGTTATGAGCCAAAACAGCTGTCAGCATAGTGACTGGCTGTGGGTTGGGTAATAGGGCCTCGGGTAGGGGCTGGGATTCTTCTTTTCAACAGTGTCAGCCAAGTATAATTAACCAAAAAATATCTAATGGTAATTAATTTAACCCAATATTTATGAATATTCTGCCCGTGAATTGTTATTCTCTATTGAAAGAATGGTCGTTTTGATGTCTTAATTTTAACCTTACAAAGCTTTACACAATAAGTGCCGTAGCTTGTTCATGTTGGTGCCGACTGAGAAAACATGTGACCTCTCAGACCTGTGTTGCCAACGTGTACAATTGTATATGCGTGTCTTCCACGATGTAGTGTGGTAGATTTCAGAAATGCTTGCTTCATCTAAATCAGGGCGACTTCTGAAAGATCAGTAAACTACATCCCAGAAGAGCCCTCTTCATACTCGCTACCAAAAAAGAACAACTAGATGTTGGCTACACTAGTTGGCTGTGAAATTGGCGGTTGTCGGTTGTAAAAGTGTATTTCCAGTTTTTTGGTGGTGGAAATTATGTCTTGCCAGAAGAAAATATTGAATTTTTTTAAACCTTTATCTCCGAAAAGGCCTTTATTAAATGTTACCGACAATATTGAAAATCAACCTAATAAGAAATTGAAGCCAGAGCCAGATATTAATGGACAGAGAGAAGACTTCACGTCGGGAGGGAACAATAAAGAAATCGTTGGAAACTCGCCGTTTTTTTACAGCTATGTCCGGGCGAAAATTAAGTTGACTTCAAAACGATTTCCAGCTTTGCATACGAACATTGGAGAGACTTGGTTCCAAGCATTAAGCCCAGAATTCGGGAAACCATATTTTGCAAAGGTAGTGGAAGTTGAATATGTATTGATTTTTGAACTTATTTGTGTATTATCCTCATGTCTTATACTTGAATTGTTTTTAATATAACCGGCGAAAATATGGGTGGGCTGTTTGTACTATTTAAGTATGGTATTTACTCATGCAGAAGAGTTGAATTATCACATCTACACTTGAAATTGGAATTTCTTTTGTCATAAGTCAAGGCCATATAAACTGAAACAGATATACAGATACATGCATTACTGTGCATACATAATTGGTTGTTAACAACTATTGGATTACATAGTAGGATTTGAGGTTTTCATGGCAGTAAGTTTGAAGATGGCTGTCTTCTGGGTTGTAGCACCATGTAGTCTGATAGAAGTTTACCAGTGTTTCAGAGGTCCTCGCTGTCTCCATCGTCAAGGCAGCAAGGACCTCTGAAACCATGGGATACTATTGCCAGACTACATGGTGCTACAATCCAGAAGACAGCCATTTTATATTGGTATAAATCTTATGTTATAAGGAGATTAAGTAAAATGGAGCAAGGAAGTTATAGCAAAAAAATTATGCAGTGAAATATCCATGCCATCATTCTCACGAGAAT